TGACCAGAAGATAGAGTAAATACAAAAGATACAGGCCTCCCACAACAAAGAAGAAAATCTTAAAACCCTGAAAATAACAAAACTGATCAGCATTTAAAAAGAAAATTATAAAAACCTAAAAAGTTCATGATCTATTTTGATGCAAAACATTTGTTTAAATATTAATTTCTTTTTATATCTAAGCACAATTCTTTTAAGTGGTATGAAATTGTGCACGTGGTTTGCAATGTCATGGAACTCTTTGTATACTCCCAAACCTTTTGGCATAAATAGTGAAACTGTGTAAAAATTAGGGATGGCAATTCTTAACCGTTTGATCGATTAATCGGTCGGAACGATGCTAATCGGTTAGAAAATCCGTAATCGGTTAGTCGGAAAACTATAAAAACGTGTAAATTTGAACATATTTTCTTAAGATTCACTTTTTAGAAAGGAAACCACTGCTTTAAGGTTATCTAGTGTTCTTACACATTTTGTAATTAAATAATTTGGTGGTATCTATAGCTCTCCTGATTGAAGTCACCGGGTAATTGGTCAGTTTGTAAAGTGTTAATTGCTGTTTTTAAAACATCATGTTGTTACCCCGACTGCCCTTGCATGTGATTTTTTAATGATAGTAAAAACATCACCATTTAGAACTTTAAATAAGTATGTCTATATTTTGCCGTTATCTATTCAATTGTTACATTAGGAAAAACAGTGTAAATAAAGTAAGAGTTCATACATGTTTTGATTATGGTGACAATGCAGAATTAACTTCTTTTACGTCTGCGTTGGAAAATTATCCATGTCTGAATCTAATGCAAGATTCACGGGTTTCCTCATTTTTTCTAATCTTGTATATTGGAATAAAAATAAAATATACTCTTCAGCACATAAAATATCTCGATCAAGATGATAAACAGAATAAAAAATATAACGTATTTTATAGCCTTCTTGTGTATACATGTATGAAGAAATCAAAATGAACATCTTGATACGACTAACCGGTTAATCGGTCGGAACGTCTTGTGGTTAACCGATTAGCAATTCTGTAATCGATTGAATAATTCCCTAAAAGATTTAAAAATAAATTTTTTTTGTTATTTGAAAAATCTATTTGTGTTCAACTCTTGATGTAGGTTTTATATATGCGGGTGTATCAATTGTTTTTTAAAGTTTATTAATTGTTAAAATTTTCAAGCTAACGATTAATTTTTTCATCTAATAGAAGCATGTAATTATTTAACTAAAATATAGCTTGTTTTAATTTTACCCGTGCGTATCATTTAGTCATTGCATTTAATCAAGGCACTTACGTTGTAAACAGAGTAAAGACAATTAATTTTAATCATGTGATTAGAAGAATCACATTTTGACAGCTGATTTTTAACTGATTTGAACCCCACCACTAGTAATTTTGGCAAATAAAACTTACAAAATCTTCTGTCAGTCTACAATTCAAACAGTAAAATAAGCTTAAGTTAGAAACCGTTACAGAGAGGCAAAGCTTTGGCATATGAATTAACCCAAAACATTAAAACTAGGAAAGAATTAATTAGAGTTTCAATGGAATGCTGTTTGTCATTACTGAGATCAGAAAATTTGCCATAATTCAAGAAGAGTCCTTTGTTTTATATATAATTATCCAGGTAAGCATCAAACATAATAAAAGCAGAATAATTCATCAAGGATGAAAAGTTATTTATTTCATTTTTATTTTGTTTAAAAATAGTTCCCTTCAAATACTTCTATATGGTCAAACTAATATGCTTATATTTTCACAGCAAATTATGCCTCTATGAATTATTTTTTTTTTTATCACAAATAAACAAAGTTTTAATCTCCAATAAAATATCTGCTTCTACCCTATTTGGGTCTACAGTTATATTTTCAAGGTTAATCAACATTAACCAGTGAATTAGATTTACCAGTACATGTATGTAATTAACGTTTTTAAAATTATGAAAGAGACAAACCTGTCTGACTCCATGATATATACACAACCAGAACAGTAAGAGGGCACAAAGAAAGGAGGCCTGGAAAATGGCGTCAAACATTCCCGGCACCCAGCTGTTAACCAGGAATGTCAGGGGAAATAAGGGATCTGAAATATATGCAAGGGGAATTAATAACATGTATCTGTGGAATAAGGGATCTGAAATATACACAAGGGAATCCTAGTAGTCTGAAGTAACTCTGGGGAAATAAGGGATCTGAAATATAGACGAGGGAATTATAGATGTCTAACAGTCTTCAAATAACAACTGACTTTAAATAAATTAGTCAATCTATGTCAAGTCAATGTGAGGGAAATCCTTTCTTAATTATAGCAAAAATAAATGAATCTTTCAAGAACGTCAAATACAGTGTACAGTTAACCTTCAATACCTGAGATATCATACTACATGATTGTACATTGTAGATAACTAGAAGTGTAATGGTGGAAAACTCTTTCCTTCTTGTATTTTAACATTAATTTTAAATCTCAAATCTGAAAATATAGCTTTTTTGAGATAATAAGGTTTCACTATCTTCAGTGTTGTATACTTGACAAATTTCACAAAAAATACAGCTGACCTTTATTATCCCAGAAACGGCTATCACGAACATCATGGATATGTTGAAGGGGTGGGGTTTTTTTTTGTCCCAGCAAAGCATATTGAAGTTTGACAGTAATTTATACAAACCATTGTATAACAGTAGTAGAGGTAAGAGCAAGGGATTCTGAAATATAGACAGTGTTTAAAACTTCCTCAAGGACAACACACACTTTAAAAAAATTTAAATAAATGACCATTCAAGCATGAAAAAAAGAATTCCAGTATGTGAGCACTCAGACAATGATATGATAAAATACAAGCAGTTTTCCTCTAAATCCTGTAGTAAAATCAGCTTTTTAAATTTAGATAATTCTTCCTGAAAACATGAAATCTTTACCTTATCTTACATATTCTGACAAACGATGAACATTTTATGATACATACACACTTGAATGTATATTTATAAGTCTCTCTCCAAATAAAAATAAAGGATGTATTCGCTTTAACAAAAGAATTGACCTATAGGAGAGAACAATTTCCCGGAAAAAGTGACATTGAATAATTAAGCTTTATTTGTTGTTTTCTAGACATATGACAAATTTTCCAAATTTGTTTTTATACCTAAAATTTATTATTTACAACTTTACAATAAACCTTCAAAAAAAAACACCATTTTGTCCGTTAAAGCGTTGATTTTTGCATGAATTTTGGCCTACAAGTCCTTCAGGGCAGGCCTGCCCAAATAAAATTGTGATATATTTGAAGGTTATGATGTTTTTTTTTTTTCCCAGCAAGCATACAAAAAATAAGGAAGATTTTGAAAATCTAATTTATACAAACCATTTTTATAACGTAGCTCAGTTGATATATGCAATGGTTTTATCCATCTCTGTGAAATGCTTCTTTTTAAAGTCGCGGGGAAAACTTCCTCCTGGCACACACACTTTTAAAGTTTTAAATTTTTTTAAAGACAATTTAATTTTTTTTAATAGACTTGTGTATTTTCCTTCAAATCTATCGTTTATGTAATTCTTGATACAAAAAAATTTGAGAGATGTCAAATCGTAACAATCAAATGTAAAATTCAAGCGGAACATACCTCAGTAAATTTCTAGGACAAGAAACTCACTCTGTGTTTTTGATACAGATATTCTTGACAGCATTGTAGCATCGTTTTTCAATTGTATATATTCCTTGGAATCCAATCACATTGATTTTGGCTACATATATTTTTTGGATTTCATTTAGGCCTATATAATTTGCACGCATTAATGACATTTTTTATTATATCCACGGATAAATAGCATAGACATAAGGAATAAAATTTCAGAAAATTTACCATTATGCACAATGAGAAGTTTTTTCAAGACAAATATCAATTATTACATTTGGAAATAACAAATTCTTCAGAAAATCATGAAAAAGGTCTTTACCTCTAACTGAAATAAAGATTTGGAAAAAACAAATTGTTAAATTTTAATGTATATACATTGAATGTAAATTGACAAGCTTTTTGTACATAAAAAACCAATGTCTCTCTCTCTCTCCCCTATTTATAATGAAGTGATCTTTTGTGTAAACTTACTGTAACAATGAATGTCAGAAAGAGAAAAACAAATCGAATCCAGATCTCTGTGTTAGTGAAGGATGTGTTGTAACTCTTAAACTACAAAGGAAAGGCATTTTAATTATCAACCAAAAGCCAACTTTCAATAAATATTTAACTTCTCATTACATGTATATGAAATTAACCTGTCATAAAAGAAGGCACTATTAAAAGAGACTGACTGAGGCTCAATGCCAATTAAATGAATACCATGTTGTACTGAATTACTCACATGGTAAATAATGTCACTGAAGTGAAACTTAGTATTCTCCAGCCCGTAAAACTCCACTGTGATAATATAACGGTAAAAATCCAGGTATCCCAGATGTAGCAATATCAGGTCATCACATTTCTATAGGAAAAAAATAAAATTTTAAAGATCTTACAGACTTACACACGACACTTTCTACACTTGGACAGAAACTCTAAATGGTATCTATAACTTCATGACAATAATCAATGCCTTGTTTTACAAAAGAACTCTCAAATATGATAAAAATTTTAAAATGCAATTAAATTTCCTTTTTAATAGCAATTCTTTTCAAATTGTTTTAACCTTTTTTTGAAAGAATTTAGAAACTTTAAGATACATTTATGCAAACATTAATCTCTCATACAAATGTAAGGTTGATGATTTTACGATCAACTATTAAGTTTTCAGTTACAGTTGTGAGTTCTTTTGTAAAATGAGCATCAGAAATGTCAACATGTACTATACAGTCAAGAAATTTCATACATTACAAAAATAACATGTAGTATACATTACAAGTTACAACTGTAAAAAAACTTAGATCAATAAAGTTAAGATTTAATTTTAAAAAATTCTCAATTTTTTTTTAATTATCTGATAAATTTGTATTCATAGATTGAAGATGCTTTTTATAATTGTATACATTATTTTTAAAAAATCCTTTGATAGATATCAAAACATGTTTAACACTGATGATAAAAATATATCGCATACAGGAAAATTTTTGCATTCCCATTTTATTTTCCCTCTTTTCACACAGGGGCTAATTCAAAATTGGGGGTGGGAGATTCAAATTCAAATAACATGATATAAGGTGTTTTTTTCCTCAAAAAGAAAGCAGAACCATGACTGGACAAACTAGAAACAGGGTACAATTGTTTGTGCAAGTGTGAAAAGGTGAATAAACAACATGCACAAAAACAACCCTATATACTGTACACAGTATGACAATCTATGGAGTTTTTCCCCTTTTCTTACATTAGAACACCGTAACACTCGAGTCCTGTTGTGAGTATGAGTGTTGAGCTCCGGGTTTTTGGTTGAGGACAGTAACTCCTCATCAGATTTAAGTCCCCTTATCTGAACACTCACTGTAAATGGCTGCTCAAATCGTGAGCCTGAAAGAAAAGATTTAGCAGTATAGGAAAATAAGTAAAGCTGCACACAGTAAAGCATGCTTATAGCAAACACTTTTATAATGAATTCAAGCTTACAAAATGGATATAAATTATATTGTGAACCTGATGTTTTAATAAACAAAACACAGATCCCATAATACATGTACTGCACAATTAAATTTGGCAGCATTTTTTTTTTTCTTACTTCTTTACAATCTGTTTTGTCTTTCAAAATTTATCTCTGCAGCTATTGTGCAACTAAACAGCATAGTGTTCTCTGCTTGATAACCCCAGCTTAAATTTGGCTTGCTCATTTAGAATGTGTCACACTTTTTTTTCATTTTCAGTTGGCAAAAACAATTTCCATGCATGCAGTATTATGAACACATATTTGCCGACCATACCTCCTTGGCTATCTGTTCTTATATCTGCGATCAACCACAGCTGCTGGTGAAATGTGGACATTGGAGGGGACTTCAAAACAAATGGTCCTGTCTACAATACAGTTCTCATAAAATTATTTTATTGATTATAATTATTATTAAAATTTAGAAACAAATTTTATTATTGATTAAAAAGTAGAAAATAATGAATGGTATTGCTCTCCAGTTAAGTTTGAAATATAAGAGATAATTAAATGATAATTAATAAATAATAAATGTGCCTATCTTTGGGCGAAATGTCCTGTGTATGACATTAATGTTTACCTTTTTATTGATGCCGCTGGAGTTTGGTAAAGCAGATGAATTTTGAGATACAGTCTCAATAATTGGTGGGCCTGAAATTTATCAAGTCAGATCATGTTTTGATAGAATGGAATAAATTTAATAAAATATAATTATTGACAATTCTAACCAGCATTTCATACCAGTATTTTTTCGGGGGGTTTCATCAAGCCCCTGTGACTGGCCAAAATACATGGGCAATATCTACATATAAATAAAGGTATGTGTGTGTGTAAAATTTGAGGGAAAAAAACAATGACTGACCTGTTACTCCAACCAAGACACTGATACCAAAGCATACAAAGAAGATGATGTAGACCATCACAAACTGCCTCTTACTCAGGGCATACAGTCTCATCTGCACCGAACTAAAAGAAACAATATCCACTTCTTAACATGTAGAGTAGGATTTTCAATATTTACATTTTCTGATGTCTTCCCTTATATAACAATGCTAATAAATTTGAAATTAAATTTTCAATGACATGCCGTTGATCACATGTTCAGACATTCTTAAGTATGGAAAGCAAATTGCCTGAGCAATTTGGAAAGTTCTGACTACAACGTCACATGACGTCGAAGATACGTTGCATTTCAAAATCAAAGTCTAAATAATGCCTATATTTCTTTGTAACATGAATAAAAACATGAAATATAAATATAAGAAATAAAATATCATTTTTTAGAGTCTCATTGGGTTATGAAGTTGGTACATGATCAAATCTACTTCAGGCGTTATAGAATTTGATCACGTGACCGGCTTCATGTCATACCCCAATGAAACTCTAAAAATAATATCTTATTTCTTAAATAATCTTAATTGTCTCATCTGGGAATTCAAATAAAGGTTGAAATATCAACTTCTAAAATATGTATAACATCATTTATAACATGATTTTCATCAGTCTCAACAGTGAATTTAAATAAAAGATGAAGTTTAATATTTTCCAAATTCCATAGTTAATGATGAGAAGCTAGGTTATCATCATGCAATTGTCTTAATCAGTTTCTATATTAATTGCTAATTTTTATAAATACAATGTAGGTGTGGAATTAGAAACTGTTCAAAGGGGGCGGAGGATTGATGGTGATAAGAGAACCTTGATTGATGATTAAGTGGTTTAGAGAGAGTCTTTGATTATGAGCTATTAGGCCTAGAAAAAAAATATGTTTGTTTCCGCTTTCCCAACCGACCCAAATTTATAGAGCCGACCCTAAATATTTTTTTTATGCTTTTGTCAGATGATGTGCAAGATTTCAACCAGGGAATTATAGCCTCTAACTTTGCAAGCTTTTCAAGATTTGACCTTTCTATTAAAGTTAAGTCACAGTAATGCTTGAAAACACCATTTCTTTTGAGAGAGTCAAAAAAAAATTTTTCCAAAAAAAAAATTGTCTACCTACCTACCCTATATTTTTTCAGTCTGAAAGCGGAAACAAACATATTTTTTTTCTAGGCCTTATGACAGTTTAGGAAAATATTTCTCTTATAAATTAATTATACACACTTTATACTCCTTAAATATATTTTCGAACTACAGACGAGGATTGAATCTAAATGTTCAATCCAATGATAATTATAAGAAGGCCCACTCAATCCCTCAAATTTATACTGATGATGATCAAATGTAAAGACTAAAGAAACTGAAATCGTCAGGAAAATCATGCAACTTAGCTGTCAACTTTAACAAATTATTCATCATTATGCATTGTGTCATCAAACTTCACGAAATAGTTTATGCTAACAAATGATTTGCATATCGAGATGTTGTTCTTACAATTCGATTTCTTTTGCCATGTTGGCAGATAACCCCCTCTTCAAGCAAGTCGATATCTATATTGTTGTCATTTGTTTGGATTTTGTCTCGGAAGTGGCATCTGCTACAGGGTTTTTAATTTACGAACCCAGAGCCCGATCTATATCAACCAACTAAATAAAATCTAAAATAATCCCTAAGTTATGACTTGTTTAAAAAAGCATACTTCTCTCTAACCCTACAACTTTTTTTCTACATTTTTTATTCTCATGACTAAATCCTTCCTTATATTTCTCAAAGTATTTCTGATTTTGAACATCAAATTCTATTGCGTTCAATGAAATGTATAATTTTTAGACATAATGGTACAAAAATACTTTTATTACAATTAAAAAAATTTGTACATTACGTGTGTACTTGCATAATTATAGATTGAATATCAATAATGTACACGCGTTTATGCGCATATGCATATACATGCATACATACATTGAGCCAGAGACATATTTTATATGCATGTCTCTGATTGAGCGACAAAAGCCAAATTGTCACGACGAAAGATTCTCAAAAAAAAGTTCCAATTCTTACCGTTCACATCGGTCGTGATGATATGATGGTGAAATATAACGGGCAAAAGCACTAAAAACATCCGAAAACTGCGACAGGAACGCTCGTACGTTATTACCCCACGTTGGCGTCGAAAATGCGAACTCCGTTTCCATTTTGTTCTTTCAGTATCAGATTCTTGACAGTATCAGAACTCTGAGCATCGGCTAAGATCTATGGGTCTTGAAAGACGGATTCGAGGACAGCGACCAACAATGTGTCGTCGCCATTCTTTCTGTCAAAGTAAAGACTTTCTGTTACCAATATTGATTTATCGAAGAACTCATTGACAGTCATGCATGCAAACTGGAGGAGGCGACATGGAAGCGATACCGAGGCTGGGAAAAAAATCAATAAGTTATCACTAGAACTCAGAACTTTTTGTTACGGATATATTTACAAAAAGTCCATCTTCTATCATTAATATATTCATCCTATCGTTTTGCTGCTTAAGGTCTGTCATGATGTAGATTTAAAATTTACTGGGCGGGGGTGGGGAGTGCAAAATTAACAACTCAATCAGTTATCATGGTGAAAATTTTAATATTTGTCATGCTTTCTCTTTTTTTTTGGGGGGGGGGGGGTGAACTTCAAAATTTACAACATAATACATAGGCCAGGTTCATGGTTATTGGCAATTCCAGGATTTTAATACTTTTCATGCTTTCTCTCTTTTCAATTCTTTTTTTACTCAGGGGGGGGGGGGGGGGGGGGCGGCGGGGGGGGGGGGGGGGGGGGGGGGGGGGGGGGGGGGGGGGGGGGGGGGTCAACACGCCACCACTATTGAATTCATTTTTTTTTTAATTTCACTGAGCCTGAAAATGGGAAAAAAATTATTTAATTTGCATGACAAATTGATTTATTTTATTTATATAATGAGACGAAATAAAAATTGTTTCCGATTCTTTTGATTTGCTCAATAGAATATGTTCAAAACAAAGTAACATATGCACCATTTCCAACAATTTCATTTTTTTTTTTATTTCAACGGGAGTAAATTCATCGCTTGCAACTTAAAATAATTGCATGGTTTTTTTATTAGTATTTTTTTTTAATTTTATGATATTTTTAGCTCCTGTACACTTATTAGAAGAGGCCCATGGGCTACAACACTAACCTGATTAACTCTGGCTCTGCTTTTCTTTTAAAATTGTTTAGATTTTTTCCTTGTTATAGTTTTTGTGGCCCTATTCTAAACGGGGTCACGGTCATGATCTAAACAATTTATTATCTACGAAACTGCATCTCAGATCTCATTAACTAAAAGTTTCGTCTTTTTCTCCATTGGTTCTTAAGAACCGTCGACCACGGTAGTTCAGTCAGTATCGCCCTTGCTCCGAGTTCGGAAAGTCGTTCGAATCGAGTTCGAATCTCGGGTGTGACTGGTCCTTCGCCATGCGCTCAGGAATTGCGGGTCCTTTGAGACCTTAAAATTTACGAAGCATCGCAAATCATGGTAGGAAACCCCATACAAGTTCTTTTCCATTCCACTAAATGGTGTATCATTGTACAAGTCTCAACTCTGCGAAGAAATCCACTTGGTTTGCAAGCCTGAAAAAGTGAAAAATTGATCTATTCTGCTGGGTTTCTTTTCTTTTGCCTATTGCTTATTTTTGAGATTTGTAACTCGTTGTATCGGTAGAATACTCGTTCTATAACTTTTAGCAATGAACTATCATGTTCCAAAACCGTGAGAAAAAAAAAATTTCGCCCAACGTGGGGCTCGAACCCACGACCCCGAGATTAAGAGTCTCGTGCTCTACCGACTGAGCTAGCCGGGCACATGTAATATAATGTAATTGATGTCATTTAAATAAAAATTTTACTGATCATATAAGGAAAAAATATATGGAAAATATACCTTTATTGATACTCTTTTTAACATTCAAATAAACAGATTTGGGCAATAAAATAACAATGTAGACCTTAACTCGTGAAAAAGTCAAGCGGGTTACCTCAATGGTCTAAGGGACCCACGTGGCTTGGGTACACGAGTAAATCAGTGCTAAGCCGGGTCGTGTAGTTGTTCCTGTTTATATTTTCGTTAAATAGTTCAAGGTAAGCGTTATCTATATTGATATTGATATAAAATATTTAAAAAAATTGACTAAGAAATTGACATCTTGTTATACTTTGATAATAATATATTACGGGCATTGTTGTGTTTGTAATTACCATATCAACAACGTGCTACCCGGCTAATGACTAATGTGGTTAATAATATAATATTGTAGCTATTTACAAAGCTGTTTGCTTGGGATATACTGAGTATGATTGTACTATAGATTTTTTTTATTCGATATTTTCCCTTCATAAACAATAACGATGGAAAATCGATTCGGTTTTGTGATAAACAGATAAAAATGGGAGGGGCAATATTATTTAAAAAGAAAAATACAGGGTCTAGACTTGTAGTTTTAATTGATTGTTGAGATACTGGTATTTATCGTTTACCAAAATTTTTTCATGATATTCCTTAGCTGTCACAGAAGATGCAACATTGATCACGTTGATTTGCAAAATTCCAGACATGCTTCACTGGTTTTAAATTATTCAACATGTTCTTAGTGGCAGCTTTAAAATCTGTTAAAAATTCGAAATAACACCATTGCATTAAGAATTAGTTGCTAAAACTATTTTTATAACTGTATATTGCAAATAACCTTTTTTTAGAACCAAATATTGAATTTGTCAGAGGGTCATTGCAAAATAAGTTTACATAGCTAGAGTTGTCTCTCTTTGCACGTAGAGAATCAACCAACAGTATTAATACTCATTACTGAGTGCTCAAAAATACCTTTTTCACCTCTCTGCAGTACAAATAAACAATGGGAGATAAGTGTGTTATTCTGGTGACCGGTGGAACAGGCTTGGTGGGCCAGGCTATCAAAACCATCGCTGAGGGTGAAGAAAAAAGGCCAAACGAGGAATGGTATTTTGCCAGCTCTAAGGATGGGGATCTCTCGTACGTAGACTGTGTGATTTAAAAGTAAAAATTAAATAACTGCAGTTAAATAAACTTAAAAGATATTAACAAGAAAAATTAAATTGAATAAACTTAATTTTGTTATTTCAATAGAGGACAAAAGGTATTGTACTTTAGGAACTACAAAGTTCTTATTTAGTGATGTATACATAGATTTCATGTAATGTAGCAGCAGCACATGCATGAATCATGTACACACTTTAAGAACAGATTTATTCAAATTAATCAATTCTGTTATATGTACTTCCATGTATTATCATGGAGGGCTATTAAATAAAGCCCAAATCTTTAAGATGTGTTCAGTATTGAACAACACTGTTAAAAAATCCACAGTGTTAGCAAATCTGTTTTTGTGATTGGATTCAACCTTGAACTTATTTTGTTACCTTGACCTATTTCCAATCTTCAGAGACCGTGCTGCTACAGAGAAGCTGTTTGAGAGAGTGAAGCCGACACACGTAATTCACCTGGCTGCCATGGTTGGGGGGTTATTCCGTAATCTCAAATATAACCTGGACTTCTATGTAAGTTGTGCCTGTGAATTTTAAATGAAGAAATTAATTTATAATTCTTTTGTGTGTATTCTAAAGAAACAAAATTGAAAAGTACAGAAAGTAGTTTTTGAGTAGATTGAAACTTAAAATAACTCAAATCATTTGAATTCATGCTTATATATAATTTCTCTGTATATTGGATTTTCAAATTACCCCCCAAAAATGTTTAACCATGTTAACAGTTAATTTTCAAAGAATTATTATTTTTATTATTATTTTGTCTTTTTTCAGAGGATTAACACCTTGATTAATGACAATGTCCTGAACACAAGCTTCAAAACCGGTGTCAAGAAAGTGGTTTCCTGTCTGTCCACTTGTATATTTCCTGACAAAACCACATATCCTATTGATGAAACCATGGTGCGTATAATATACTTTCTGTGTGGGACATACATACAGGACCTAAATTGAAGAACAGACATTGAATCAATTAATCCTTAAAACTAACAAATCAGGCCATATAAAAACAAGATTAATTTATCAAAATTTATTTTTTAAATAATGAATTTATTATTTTTAAGAAAAAATTTAATTTATTAAAATTGATAGCTAGATAGAATTCATATTTGTTGCTATAAAAACTTTCAGTCAAAAAAGCATGGTGATTTTGTCAAGTCATTTGAAGTACATGCATGTCAAACTAGTGTTAAATCTAAAGCAAACTAGCATGGCGCGGCGCCATGCCCCTTTTTCTCGGCGCCATGCCCTTTTTTCCAGCACCATGCCCTTATTTCCTAACCCAAAATTAATAAATATGCCCAGTTTAGGCAATATTCCTTTGCTGTTCTGTTTATTCAGTGCATGCTGATAATCCCTTTGTTTACACAACGACAGGAAATCACTTCACGCTTGAACGCACCATACAGCCACCTGGCTAATTAACATGCCTCAGGCTGTCAGGGTAGAGGATTTAACTTGAGAAACTGTCATTTGATTGCATTGATTATGCAAGAATAAGCCCAAGACCAAGGATAAATTAACTTGTAAATTATTTACTAATTAAAATCAGGATCGTTTTTTAAACAGAAAGTAGAATAAAACACATAGTTGAACTTGAAGAAAAAACGGATATTTTATCTGAATAAAATACTTACAGTGCACCAAAAAAAATGAATGTAATGTTATAAAAAGGCTTAAAAACAACAGTTAAGTTATTTGATTGAACTGATAGATTTGATAAGCTGAGGGTCAATGTTTCTAATTAAAGCCAGAGTTTTTTTTTTAACAAAATATATTGGGAGTAAGACCAGTTTTCACTTTATCCTGTTGGTAGAATATTTTCCAAGTAAATAGAATGGTCTCTACATGTATTTTTGCAGCCAATATTGTTTATACGCAGTGAAAGGCCCTAACCCTCTTCCCTGAAAAAAGTATTTTTAAATTGACTGTACTAGTACACAAATAACACAGTCCAAGCAGGTAAAAAAATAATCATACCTCCAAACTTTAATAATTTTTGCTGATGTTTCAGCTAGATTAATACCATTACTTTCTCAAGTGTAACCTTACTACTTTTTTGATTAAAGAAATTGGATGTAAATGCCTTTTTTATATCCTTTTTTGTTTCAATAATTGTCATGTCAGCCCAAGTGTGCTAATTGTGTTGATATTTTTAAAAAAATGAATGGAATACAGATATATGAATTTATCTTTAAATTACTTGTTTAAATAAAGATTTCAATATTAAAGGATATTAAATTAAAGTAATTAAAAATGTTAAAGTATGTAAAAATTAATGATTAATATAATCTTTATAAAGACATTTTAATACATTTGTTTTAAAAGTGCCCTCGTGAGATCCCGTCGCAACACAAAGTGCCCTTTTGATTCCTTGATTACCATGCCCTTTTTAGGGTCTAGATTTAACACTACAAACAATAGATTTTTTGTTGGACTCAATCATCACCTATACATGTATGTATATATCTTACTATGCAGGTTCATAATGGTCCACCACACGATTCCAACTTTGGATATTCTTACTCCAAAAGAATGATAGATGTCCAGAATAAGTATGTGAACAGATTTTAATTAGCATTAGATGATTTAATAATTTTGTTTGTTGTTTAACATCCCTCACAAGAATTTTTCACTCCTAAGGATCATTGGCCATGTCTGTAACCATGGTAACTTACCAACAAATTAATTTAATCCTTAAAGATTAATAAAGATTTTTTTTTAATTATCAATTTGTAAAGACTATTCATCTTGCTAAATTGATGAAAGAGGAACAAGGATTATTAGAAAAGTCAAAAACAGCTTATTTCTTTACAATACATATGAAGTGAGAATTCAATCTACACAATCATTGTTTGCAGAGCGTACAACAAACAACATGGCTGCCAGTTTACGTCGGTTGTACCTACGAACGTTTTCGGAGCCCACGACAACTTTAATCTGGAGGACGGGCACGTACTGCCGGGACTTATAAACAAGATCTACTGCGCTAAGAGTAAGTATTCACAAGGTTTAACGGTTGTCATATTTAACCAAATGCTACCCATTAAATAAGCAAATGGACAGTATTAGTCATATGCAGTGAAACGCTTATAACAAAGTACCAGAGACAAATGATTTTGCTTTGATTTAAACATAATTTGTTATATCTTTTAAGTTTACAATTTATTTTAAAGCAGGGAAATGAAAATCATTTTGTTATTATAAGCGTCATTTCTTTATGAGCATTGTTTTATTGCAAACTCTTATTGTCAAATTCTCTTCAGTGACAGGCAATGAAAGAATATAATAACCTCTCTTTTTACTGTTTCTACTGCCCTAAAGTTAATTATTATTCACACGAATAAAACAGATGTCAAACTTTACCAAAAAGCTACCTATTCAGCATGTATATATAAAATTTAAGTGCAAAATTCTATTAATTGTCTGAGACAGAAATTAAAGCAATAATGCCGCAATGTTCTATTTTTTTTTATGTATAATGATAACCCTCTCTGGACTCCTTTGTAGGGGACAACACACCCTTCACGGTGTGGGGGACAGGATCACCCCGCCGACAGTTCATCTACTCCCTTGATCTGGCCCGTCTGATGATCTGGGTGTTGAGGGAATACCCCGAAATCGATCCCATCATCCTCTCTGGTAAGAATGACCTTGACCTTGAAATGATCTGCTGGAAGTAAGAATTTGAAATCGAGATAGATTTTGATGACTAATGTGTTTTTCTTTTCAAAGTAAAACTTTGTATAAAGGAATATCATCGCATAAGGAATATCAGCTTCATTTCTGTCCGTGTAAGCTACTGTAAACCAACTTTTATTCGTGTGTGTTAACTAATCTTAGGCTTAGGGATTCTTTTTTGACTCGCGAATATTAAAAATTGCCGCGAACCATTTATTTTGCTAAGGATTTGTAGAGAAAGTTTTTTCGGTCGCGGAAATTAATCGTCGCGGATTGATTCTAAACTGACGAATCGCAAATAATAGTTGGTTTACAGTAAGCTTAGGCCGAGGGACTACTTTTTGCTCTTAAATACTGTATACAGGGAAATTTTCTCCCCGCCTTATTTTCTCCCATTTTGCTCTAACCTTGATTGAGTGAATAAAAATGGGGCGAATTCAAAGAATGCAATGTAATTTCTTAAACAAAAATGTAACTAGGCGAATTTAAGACGGGGCAAATTCATTTGCAAAATTAAAAGGGCAAAAATAACCCTGTATACATTAAATAAAATTTTTAGAATAGTTCTGATTAACTTCTGACATGCACTATAATTTTGTTCTGCCCTGTTTGTAGTGGGGGGAGACTTCAAATTCACAATGCTGGGGTCAGCTGGTATAACTGTAATTTTTTTTGCCCTGTTTTTAGTGCATCTTGTATAATGCTGTGGTCACACTGGTTTGAACAATAAATTTTTGCCCTGTTTGTAAACAAATATAATGCTGGGGTCTCACAAGTCTGTATTTTTTTCCCCTGTTTGTAGTGGGAGAGGAGGATGAAGTCAGTATTAAGGAGGCAGCTGAGGCAGTCATTGAGGCCATGGAGTTCAAGGGGGAGGTGAAGTTTGACACCACCAAGTCCGATGGTCAGTTCAAAAAGACCGCCAGTAACGCCAAACTCCGAAAGTACCGACCAGACTTCAAATTCACACCATTCAAACAAGGTATGAACTGTAACACAATTTACGTGATGTATAATTATGTCTACATGATATACTCTTTCTACATAATATTACTTGTCTTAATTTGTGATATTTATCTGCTTGATACACAATGTGTTTTATCTACATGATATTCCATATATTTTGTTTTTGGTCATTTGGTAATTGCATCATTCATATGCTATATGTCCTATTTTTAGCTGTGAAAGAGTCATGTGACTGGTTTATGACCAATTACGAGACAGCAAGAAAGTGAGAGAATCTCCTGCATCTGTATCGTCACTACCAGGGTCGACATATAAATGTACAACTGAAGATGAACAACAAACTCATTATTTATTGGGCCTAACTTTTGGAGCACAAAGAGGGTATATAATCATTGGTTTACTCTGTATCTTTAGTGTGGCTGTTTCTCTGTTTGTCATGTATACATTGTCATATGCTGTGAGATTAATTTCTGAGAGGTCTTGATCATATACGATCAGGAAGTTCATTCTGGGGGGAAATTAAAACTGTTCATGTGAGAATATTTATTTAAAAAGAAAGTGTTGTAAATGAGTTCTTTATCTCTCGTATTAATTTTTTTTTTAGAATAAATTATTTGATATTATATTATTATTCAAAATATTTTGTAAATGAGGTTATTTTTCGTCATGCATAATATGTTGGTAATTTATTCCATTAGTTCATTAAGTATACCTTTTTAGTATGTATGAACCATTATTGTATATATCATGTATATTGTGTTCATCTAAATTTATGTGCTCACCATTCCATTTACTTGTGTACTATTTTTTTTTATCTTACAATTTTTTTTCTTTTACAATATTGGATATTGTTTATCTCTCAATCATGAAATCCAACATCAGCTGTGAGCTTATTTTCTCATTTTAATAAATGTGGAATTGAAATCTATATGTTGGTTATTTTTAATCAAGGAGTGAATTGTGTGGAAATGAAAAAAAAGCCTCCAACTTCTACATATAAACATACAGTTGTTCAGTGTAAGAATCCACCAGAATTCATGCCTCCTCCCAACTTGAATTTAAAAAAAAAAAATTAATTTTGTTAAATCTAATCGAACCAAAATGATCCCCAAAATATGTGATTAAAATTTTTTGTTTAAAGTTTGAAGACAGAAAGGCTGTGAAAATTAACATCAGCTTCTTATTTAAACTGATTACATGTAGTTACATATTTAAACTGATTATCTTCGACATGGCCTGCTGCCAGCATCATTTCTACATGTTGTTTTGCTGGACATTGAGTATGAATGGGAAATGAGTCAAATGACACATTGGAGTAAAGATGAGTGAAGGGATAATCAGCCGATAATAGGATAGTACTTTGTTTAGGGACCCCATGCCCTGATCTCGGCTGGGGATTATCTTTAATCTTTTAATCCAAGTGTTAAGTCACTATAGAGTGGAATAGGGTTGGTTAATCCTTTACATTTGATTATATTACAGGATCCAGAATATATTCCCTGTTCCAGCATTACGAACCTCTAAACACTTATAATTTTATTTTCTGAGAGAAAGAAAAGGTGTATGTTTTATCAGTTTATGTTTATATATAGCGATCGTATGTTAGCGGATCAAAAGGGCTTAGCAATAGGTAATTACATCAGGAACCTATATACTAATATAGTATATAGATTCCTGATTACATGTACGTATACAAGTGTTGTATTTAAAAATTAAAAATATCTTACCATGCTTACTAAATTATCTGTGTCTAGTTCTAATTTTCAGATTTATTCAATTATTCAAATTGAGTGGGTAAACCCACTAAAGAATCCAACTTTTTCTTACGACACTGTTTTCGGGGGGTCCAATGTAATATCTTCCTTACTTATGAAAACTATTGAAAATCGCCGGGGGAGGAGGTGGGGGCAGAGCGGGACCCTGGCTAGATTCGCAGTGTTGGGAACCTATACATAAGCACTGTTAAAGTACTTATTAAACAAGATGCGATAAAACAATTATAATGTATTGTATGGTTATCATGGTTTGTCCTTTTAATACGATATCAAGTGCAACATTACAAAACAACACGATTGCCCATCATCTGGGAAAAAGGAAGGGAATTTGCTAACACTGCGGTTATCTTCATATCTTTGAGATTCTTAGCTCAGGCAGACTTAAAGTTTTAAAACAGTTTCAAGTACTTTTCTGACCACTTGCTCATTACATGCATTACGGCAATCTGCATCTCACTTGAAGAAACACAATCATGGCTTGGAAGATCCTGAATTCAGTGCCTTATTTTCTTATCATGCTTTAGGTGGTAATTTATTGATCAAATTTTCATAAAACTATACTTAATTCGTCATTTTTTTTTTTGGATACTCAGAGATAATGGATTAGCAAAAAAAAAAAAACAAAAACAAAAAACGGTGTACTTGAGAAATCTGATATGTACAGTACCTTGACAGTTTTTGAAGAGAACTTTTTGGCGGGAAAACAGAAGCATGTTCTTTCTAAGCATGTGCCTGTTGGTAATACACACGATTTTTATCGTGCATTCATAACCTTTTAAAGTTTCATTATATTTTCCTGCACCTCTTTAACATGATAAAAGCTTTTCAATAAAGCTCCATAAGAATAACTGGCGTTCTCCGCTCTTGGTTTGCATGCTGAGTGAATCAAAATGTTCATGATACTAGCAATATCAGATTCGGTGCAAAATCCTTTAAAACTTAAACGATACAGTATAAATTTGAAACGCTGGCAAGTTAAACAATTCACAAATCTTACCTAGAAGTTCTCTAATGTATGTTGTCTCTCGCGGGATGCGCATGCATGATGCCGTGAAACTTTTCTCTTGTGTGTGTTCTCGGTTTCAACTTCTAAGGGATGTCCTAAAGCCTGCGGTGTTACGTATTTGTTTGTGTGTGATGTCGGCCTAAACTTCTGAGGGTTGTCCTATAGCCACAGACCCGCTGTGTGTACACACTGGATCTTACACACACCTGCTGTGTACACCGTGGAAACGAGGAGAATTGGAGGACTTGATGCTACTGTGTACATACACAACGAATTTTTTTTTACCTAAATAATTATCTCGGACGGGAAGAACTTAAGCTTCTTTTCTGTTCTTATGATTCTGTATAGCTTGTTCATGTTGTTAGTTGTAGTCCACAAAATTCATTATTTATTTCAATGTAGTGACCAGGACGACGAAAACGAAATTAATTGTCATTTTACTTGAATAAGAAATTATAGGCACATATAGTATTGGGGAAATTAATTGTTCCCCCCTTTTTCCAAACATAATATATGTGGCCCCTGCTTTTGTATTGTGAAATCGCAGTATTATGGTAATGCGATTTACCACCACCACCACCCCTGAAACAAATGGCTGTGACCCCCCCCCCCCCCCCCACACACACACACACACTCTCTCTCTGCCTCTATCTTCTTTACATTCCAACATTTCATGTTTTTCTAAATTTTATGTAACTCCCAAAGTTTTCTTATTAAACATGCAGTCCCAATATTTGCTGCAGATCTGTAGCATTTATGGTTTTATATACATGTATTTGTCTATGAGTCCATAACAATTTCAATATTAGACACACAAACTGACTTTGCCTTTAATATAAGATAATAAAGTCTTGAATAAGATAATTAAAGTAAAATATTTGAAGGTATTTCTTTTATTTTACCTTTAAGTCTAACAGTGCAATGTAACAACACATTGAAGAATTTGTTTTCAAGTACATTTTTACATACAATGTAAAAATCAATTATAATGTCTTGTGAATTCCACTTGTACAATGTAATACATTTTTTTCATTCAGCATAAAATAAAATTGATCTCTGCATGACTAAACACTGAAGGTACATGTATATTTTTCTTAACAAGAAAAACAAAATATACATAAAAAGAAAGTTTTACCTGAAGCAATATTTGAACCTCAAAAACAGAATTTGATTATTTTCAATCATTGAAAACAAAAAGTCATAAAAATTTATATTCAGTAAACAAAAGCTAAAATGATATGATTCTAAACAAATTCTCGGTACACATTTTTATGCTGGAAATAAGGAGATTTATTTGAAACATGATTGACTAAATAACTACATCATGTGCTGATTTTGCAGTGATTTTTAAAAATTATTTTCTGACTCTGCATTATGAATTATTTATATATTGCGAAATATACGATTATATATAGTTACAGTTACCCCCCTTTTAACAAAAGAATTAGCTAAGTATAAGAAATCAATTCTTGGACTAGATTCTATACCTTTGCAAAAGCATAAAAAGAAACATATTTTACTGTCTGAGTATTAGAAATGTTTATCACAATCAAGCTATCTGATTACCTGGCACAAGGAAATTAAACTAGTTGGTTTATGTAATAAAATTAATATTAAAATGTACATATACCTTAATTTTAGTTCCCTAATTCATTTCCCAAGATGTTTAGCATAATCATTAAAATGCATATATTACTTTTACTAGTTTAAAATAAATATGTTATGTATGTTTACTAGTATATTTGGATAAATTAAATAAATATGTTTATATAATTATACATTAACTACTACACGTAAATTGCAACTTTCCATAATTATAAAAAAGTGTTGTGAATTCACATAACTGTATCTCCATCATTTGATAATACATGTAAAAAATAAATCAGGTATCTTAAATATTTTTTCTACCCTTCTTTCATACAAATTCACTAGAATTCAACTTGATCTACCAGATAGTTTAAAATATGTGTATCTATCTAATAATAACTTGGCACATCCTCATCTCAAACAAGATCTATGTTTGCTTTTCCTTTGTCTGACATATAAATTTTCTATTTAATATTTTTAAATTTCTATGAGTTCTGACATCTTAAAACTGCTTAAAACTGTAAGTTGTTACCAACATTCATACCATTTTAACAAACATGACAAAGCTAAACTGTATACTGAAGTATTACAAAGACTAAATGAAAGACGATGCATGGATTTTAATTAGAACTAAATATGAGGAAATTGTTTTTCACTTAAACAAATGGCATTTTGATATAAATGTACAATGCATTTGGGTTTTCAATAAATAAATGCATTAAAATGCAGTACAGATAATATGACACATTAAAAAAATTTACAAAGAATTAAGCTTACCCATTAATTTGCTTTCACTTTAATAAATATAAATTAATTATATAATCATGTACAGAATTTGTGTCAGCTAGATGCAAAAGTTTTGTTTCATAAGCACATTTTAAATTTTTATTTTCAGTTTATGAAAAAAAATTAGCATTAAATTTTTAATGGACCTGTCTTCTAATATATGAAACTGTGTTTTATCTACAGGAAAATTGACCAACATATTTGATCATTTTGTACGTGACATACACACATAATATTATATTGATGGAACAGATTGTTTTCAAGTTTACTGAACAAAAAATTACTGAACTACTCTAATTATAAATTTCCCCTTTCAGCAACTTTTCTCTTAAATAAATACAGAATTTAATTTTTTTTTTGTACATATATCCTTTTTTTGTACATTACTTCATATTCATTTTAAGAAAGAGTTGAATTGGCACTTTGAACATTAAAACTCCATAAAGCACAAAATATTGTGAATTGCGTGAATAACTAACCAAGTTTTATTCAAAAGTGACATGTGTAAGAAAACTGAAATACATGTATATCCGTGACTTAGAAATATATAACTACATATGTGTACATGTACATGTTAATGGAATGTGTGGGGGTAAAAATAACTTTTTGTAATAAATAAAAGTTTTTTTGTTGTAAAAAAAAATATACATGTACATATGGTTATAAACTAAAGTAACTAAAAAAAAAAAAATTAAAATCAATTTTAGGACGGAGAATAAAACTGGCTGGAATGTATTTATCAACAACAAATATTTGAGAAACAACAAAAA